TGGTATCAATGGGATTATCCATTAACCAGCAAAGATTTTTTTTTGCGCAGGGTATCTAAGATTGGCAATGGATGTTGTTATATAGGATTTATATCACCCAAATGATGGTTAATTGTGATTAATGATGGTTAATGATGGTTAATTATTGGTGACCCACAACTGTTATTGGTTAACACCCGACTTGGCACGACAGGGCATGGTCCAAGCAAAGCTCATCCTTCAAGGGCTTCAGCGCTTGGGTCAGGAGGAGGGAAAAAAAGTGGTGAATGATACAAAGATGATGGGATTTCAACCACCAACCACTGGGAAAATGCTGGTTTAATGGTGTTAACATGTTATTAACATGGGATTTACCAAGCCTTTATTTTTAGTTGGTTCATCAATCTACCATAAATCGTAAAACTACTGGTTAAACGGTCAACCAACTAAGCTTTCCAAGTTGGGCCCCAACTCGGAGGAGTATCTATCATGATATGGGAGATTATACGGTGGATGGTTGCGAAATCCTGCACCAGTTAATAGGTGGTTTATCCCATTATAGGGTTTCAACCATCCTTTTGGTGATGCAGGATTTCGCTGGCCCATCCACAGTATGACATGTATGACAAACCTGGTGAAAAAGTTCACATGTTCATCATGTTCATCCCATCAAGATATGGCAGCTCGCCAAGATCCATTCCCAACTGGGACATAGATTGCCAACAATCTGAATTTCCAATGGGAATTTCAGAATCCTAAAATAGAGCTACGTTAGTACCATATTTTTGGCCATATTTTCTGGGGATATTCACTGAAATTTAGCTAAAAAATAGGCTGTATATATGGTAGGTACCTCCAATCAATCGGTTCCTGAGATGGCCAGTGATGGGAATTCCACAGTTTCAGGATGGGCAGCTGTCAGAATTGAAAGTTCATTGGGCTCTACGTGGGTCACTTTTATTGAACCTCGTCAGCGCATGCTGCATTGCACCATGCCTCCATGGGAACATGACGTTGAAAAATCATGGAAAATCGATGCGAGTGTGCCCTGACTGGGTACGTGCTTTTGGACCTGTATGCCCTGCTTGCCAAAGATCAGTGCTCGCAGATGAGCCTTCCAACGGGCAGCACTTTCCTGGCGGCGCAGACAGCATGGAATCTCCAAGGCGTGGCTCTTTCCATGGTTGTGGTGTGCTAAGACCATGGACCCTGGCTTCAATGCTTGGGGCAATGGCTTTGGGCGATTGTCGGAGCTCACCGTGGAACAACATTTCAGCATGCTCCGTGCGCAGTCAAACAATGCCCAGCTAACAGCTCGTGCATATTTCAAGGCCGCTGCGCGAGTGGCGTTGAAAGTGGGGAAAGGCTTAAAGAAGCCTCACACTGCTTCGACCAAACCCCTTTCGCCACGAAGCCCGGGGAGTTCACCAGGAATGTCGACAACAAATCGCAGTGATTTCGGTGCCATTTTTACAGTATAAAAATGAGAGATTTTGGCGTGTTGAACATGTGGATTTAGTGGTAATTGCCATCAAAAAACGGATCAGTTAACCAGCGAAAATGTGGATTGTTTGGATTATGATGAGTATTTACGAGCCAACTATGGTGTTTTTTAAATGTGATTTAATGATAAGATGGAATATGAATTTATTGAGCGAATGTATGGAGCTACCTCACCGAAAAAGGGACTTGACAAACATAAATTGGGACTTGCCCAGCCAAATTTGGGTTTTGACCAACGAACATCGAGAGTTAGCCAGCAACAGTGGTGATTTGCAAAGAAAAATCGGAGTTCACCAGCATCCATTGAAATATGTTGAAAAAATACTGCTGAATTTAAGGGTCCGGGGTGCAGCGTGGTGGTTTTATTGCATCATTGGAGACTATAGGCATGAAGAGTCTGAAATGGCTTGAAAGGCAGCCTTCGCTAGGATTTGGTGAAGCTTCTAACGCTGCGTCGTCGCTGAACCCCTGAGATGTGCCATGGGAAAATTGACGGTTTCCCCTATATTCGTATGGATCAAGCCATGTAAGAGCCAGGGGACCACAGATTTTTGTTTTCAATATTAACATGTAGTTTTTTTCAATATTAGCCATGGGTAATTGCCATCAAAAAATGTGTTCAACAAGCCTGGGTGGTTGAGGATTACTGGTTGGTGGTTTGGAACATTTTTTTATTTTTCCATATATTGGGAATTTCATGATCCCAACTGACGAAGTCCATCATTTTTCAGAGGGGTAGGTATACCACCAACCAGTGCATATGAGCCATTGGTATCCAATGTTTTTTCACTCCTGGGCACCGGATGGCACCGATTTTGGCAGATTGCCAATTCTGTTTTCATAGTGCTGCAGTCTATGTCTACATAGATCACCCTGTTTGCACTGTTGCAATATACCCCAAAAATCCCCAAAATGGTTTTCAAAGCAATAAACTGATAATGTTGTTGACTTACCCAATTGTACTCCCAGTATGTGAGTTGTATTTCTATGTTGGTCATGTGCACAAGACATATATATATATATGTTTGTACACACAAACTGAGCTATAGATACTCAAGCATATTTGAACAAATCTTGTGTTATGTCATTTGATGTCATTTACCATAAGATACCATATTCTTGTAGTGTATATACAGCTATAGGCTATATGTGGTTATATCTATATAAACAGTATTGTAGCCAATATAAGTAATGTGGGTAAAACAATATCATGAACCATCCCCCAAATCCCCATTTATATAGGTGGTATAATCATTCCCAGTCATGGGTGGTTTATGGCATTGTTTTACTCAGATTAATGTATAGTCTCCTTCTGTTCTGGTTGCTGCCGAAAAAAAGCGACCCAGCCATCCATCCTCCAACGCCGAAGCGAGAGGACAGTGCCCTTGGCGTATCGGGTCTTGTCTCTCCTCGACTGGAGGAGGCGCAGGGAAAGCGACCTGGTGATGGGGATGGTCATGGGGACTTCGCCATTTCTTTCAATGAGTTTGTCTATTTTAATGGGACATGGACATCAAAGAAAATGACATTCATGGGATTTTCTAATGGGAACATGGGCCTCTTTTAATACCATGAAAATGGGGTATACCCTCGACATGACCATTTTAATGGAAATAGTTTCGATAATCCATTGGAATTTGGGGTAAAACTGATGTTCATACAAACCCAAATAATCTAGGTCAGACAAACATATCTATGTTATAGTAATAAACCACCATAATCTGGGTATGTTCAGACAAACCCAAATGATGAGTTTTCTCATGAAAACTCATCCAGCAGAATGAAAATTTCACCATGAATCATGCTGGTAGTATTGGAGATCGTGGGATATACATGGGATATAATATGGTATAAACTAACAGTAAACTATGCTATAAGGGGTATAATATGTTTATAAGGGGTATAATATGTTTATAAGGGGCATAATATGGTATAACTGCACAAATTGGATATAAGGGATATACCCTCCAGTAAACTAACAGTTTGCTATGGAAACTGGACCATGCAGTTATATAGATGATTTACCGTAATTTACATATATTGACATAGTGATTTTCCATGGCTATGCTAGTTTACAAGATGCGGATACCATTTGTTCCATACCTATTGTGAGGATGGTCATGGGGACATCTAACCATTTGGATGATATGTGATGATGATAAATGATAATTATATATAATTGCTGTTCTTTTCGGTTTATTTATTCTTTAGAAATTGTTACTCGTAGTTGCTTTGTATTAACAACCAACAACCACGTTCAAAAGAGGTTGGTTGAACCCCCATGAACAGGGTTCTAAAAGGGCATCCAAAGATACAACCACAAACAGTTGATATGTTGATGATTGTTGATGTGCTATCATCGCATGAGCCTCACATGCGCAACTCCTTGTCAGCACTGTGGCTTGGAATAACACCCCAGTTGGGACCTCAGGCTCCAGGCCTGGTGGCCAAGGTTCGAACATGGTTGTGTTCATCGACATTCACAGGCGCTGTCAAAGGGGGTCAAGTTTTGGCTTAGCGCAAACAACGTGATAGTCACCTGCAACGCAATGTGATCCTCACCGGCGATGTGGAAAGTGTTGCCGTGTCCAGCGCTTGCTATGCTCGATGAGGTGAGCACCTGCAGGGTAGTTTCCCGAGCCTAACAGAGGAAGCCTCAAGCGCAATGATCCCTAGCCCTAGCCCTTTTAGACCAATCGGAAGATCCCAACGTCATGTTGCAGCAACGCCACGTTTTGGACTGCTGACGAGCCCTGAAATTTTTCAGAGTAACAATTGGGCACACTCAAAGTCGAGATAGCTTTCCACTCACTACAGACTGCCCTCAAGAAGGAAGACAAGGTTTTTTTTCCAATGATGGGTGACGTGAAGGGGACGACCATCGTATTTCCCACAGCATTGGATGAAAGCTCAACCGCTGTTTGTTTTGTACGTTTTGTACCAAGGAACACGCTAGAGATGACTAAGGGCCGGCCCCCAAGTTACTTCTCGTGTGGATAATTGCCCGAGGTCAGTTTTGAGAACCAACCTGCAGCCCCGACTATTTCCAAACATGGCACGCCCTACAAAGTGGGCCCCCCAGACATGTTGGTTGGTTTATAAACCTATCTTATCATAATCATCAGTCCTGCAAAAATGTAATTTTCCAGTTTAGTATCCAACATTGCCCTGTTTACAGCTCAACGTAAACCACGAATCGATCAGTCACACTGGTTTACCCAGTACAAGAAAGTACTTAGGAAGTTTTCGACGAATTCAATTGAGGTTTGCCAATGCTCAAGAAGATGTCTCCTTTTTTTCGAGAGGTTCCACACTATCAAATGTGGAATAGCCGAATGATGACATGAGCGAGGTTCCCTATACTCACGCAATCATCACAATCCTCATCGCACACGACCCGATCACCGAAGTTGACTCGGCGGAAAAATATACAATGTGAGGCCCCCCCAGTTATAAACAATAGTTATTGGAGTTATAAACCAACTTAGCTATCTTGGGGGCCTCACATTGTAGGATAG